TGCCTAATTTCAGCACTTTTTACATTAGACTTTTCAGTGGCAAGTCAAGGAGTAGACGGAAGATGGGCACGGAGGAAAGGTTCTTTGGAGAAGTTCAGCATAATGGCCAAAACTTCATTCTTGCATTCCACCATGCATGCATCTTGGAATTATGTTCTTGGAACCCTACTTAAGAAAACAAACTTCCCAGGTAGCACATAGCTGGTTCCCATCTTTCTAGCATTTCTGCCTCTGGCCGATGTGACACCATACTTTTCCAGCAGTTGGTATCAGCTCTGGAAAGGGTCTGATATCAAGCACAGTTATACCTCAGCCATCAAACAGGGCCTCCTAGATAGCAAGATTTGAGTGGTCTGCCCTTCCTAACAGATGCCTCTCCACCACCCTGACTCCACCAAAATGAAATAAAGACCCATCCTGAGTTGACCACTTCCTCTGAGCTTCACCGGGCACCCATCAAGAGTGTTGGTGGGTGATGGGCTCAAGGCACAGCCCACTTGACTGAGCGATGTTTGTGCTCGGGCTTGATCTACACTGGCAAATCTGCAAGGATATTTCTAGACATCTCAAGTGATTGACTCCTCTGAGAAGATGATACTTTAAAAAATATATATATACATGTCTATTTAAATTTTTTTTAAGCCACGACTGAAAAAAATTCTTTGCCACTGGGTAGAATTAAATATGGCAAGAAACCCAATGAGATTTTATTAGTACCATTATTGTTTTCTTTGGTGCCATGTATTATATTGGTAAAATGACAAAAAAAGGAAAAAAAAATAATTGTAAAAGGCAAATATTTTGTACAAAAATACAAAGTTTTAAAAGCTCTTTAAGTATATTTCATATTATTGCTAGGAGTTGGCCTATATATCTGTATGTCTGCATATTTCTCCTACATTTGTGATTTTAGAAATGTAAGGTACTGTTTACACAGTATATGTTTAAGTTCTTCCTATAGCTCAACAACCAATGATAGTCTTTTTCAGATGGGAGCATTCCAAACTTTGGAAGATATAATCTGCATAATTATATGGTTACTGGCTGAGAAACTTATGTGATTCAGTCCATTTGCACACTGAAAATCAACATATCGCACTGGGGGAACATTTTAGTTCCCAAGTCCTTGGGTAACAGCGAATGGTAAAAAAACACTAGCTGTCAATTTTTTTCAGTAACTGGTTATCAGTGCTTTCCCCCGCTCAATCTGGTGAGAAGGTGATGCGATCAGAAAGGAGTATCCTTTGCCTTTGAGAGGTGCCTTTAAATTTGCTCGTTACTACATCACAGTCCATTACAATGCGGATGATAGTACTGAAAGAGAGAAAAAGGATGGGCGTTAGTTTTTCTTATAAAGTTAATGTACAATTCAGAAAAAGGAATATATA